CTTGGTACTGGAGCTCAAATGGCTCTAACATTCCCACAATGTTCAGTGTATCAAATCAAGTCTCAGAAAAAGCCTGAAAGTTTTATTCATTTTTTAGCCTAGTATAGGGGCCAAGGTGCTTGACAATTGCATTACAGTGAAGACATTGTTTTCTTATTTGCCCCTTCTCCTTCAGCTCTGCCTTGTCTCCATCATTCTCTACTTTGGAGAGAAACTCACAGCGATCTTTCAGGCATATTTAACTCTTGAAATATTCTTATTAGTGTTTTATGTGTTCTGACTAAGTTACATCAAATATCCAAGGAAATTCTTGGCCATGGGCTCCTAGGAAGAAGCTCTGGGGTATGGGACCTCTTTACTGCATCTGGGCATTTTATAAGACATACTGTGTCCTATAAAATAAGAGGAAAGTAACAACATAAGAGGCTTTCAAAATACACCAGCCCATTCAGTGCCTCTAACTGCCTGTAAGGGAGGCTGTGAAGTAGCCACTTTTTTCCAGTGCTATGGAGGAAACAGGACATTTCATATCCCCTACCACCTAGAAAGGGGTCCTTGTGCTACTTTCTTTTAATAAATACCATTTTCTGTATGGCATTTGTATATTTTGATAACTTTGCATGATTTCCATAAGCAGTTGTCACACAAGAATATATGTTACCTGAATCTGATATAAAGAATTATGACTATAATGTCTTTTATGGTTTTCCGTTTCCCAAGCTTCCTTTTTATTTTTCTCATTAAGCTAGCTGGTTAGTTGTATCATTATTTGGCTGTCCACTGTACTCTAGGAAGACTGTGTTTACAAGTTAGAGCTGGCACTTGTCACCTTCGAAGAATCTAAGATAAAGTGATCCTGGGGAGCAGGTGAGTAACAATACCTAGAATTGGCATTTTTCATTTCCTACTGGTTCTCTCTGACTTTCCTAACATTATTTCTCTGTTTCCTCACTAGCTGAATGAGTATTGGTATGTTCAGATAGATACTGATCCAGGACCTTGGTCCCTACCTCTGGCTGGCTTAAGGACCAGAAGAAAAGGTAGAGCAGCACTTGGGTCTTAGGCTCTTGACAGCTAGGATGGAAACTAAGAAAGAACATGCTTATGGCCAGAAGAGAATCCAAAGCTTTTCTTGGCTGTTATACTCCTACCTTCTGTGGCAAGTACTGACCATATGCACAGAATGCCATTCCTCAGCCAGTCCCTTGCTCTTTGCATCCTAATTTCAAAGGTTCTGGGTGACCGTAGAAAAGTTCCATGTGTAAACAGTTATTCTTCACTGGTAAAGGATGGACAGGCTCAACTAGAGAAAGAAGTGGCAATGAAACTGCAAAACACCAAATCCTTTGCAGCCCCCCTCTCACTGCCAGCCCTCCAATATTTTTCTATACATCTAACTGAGAAAATGGTCTAGACTGTCCTACTAATAGGTAAGTATAGATGGTCATAATGGCCTCAGATCACTCAAATTAGGGTAATATCAATTGTTCTGTATCTCTCCTGGGATCATCTGGACACGAGATCAGCATTACTACTGAGAAGCCATGCGTTCTTTGACTAGCTACCGTAGCACCACTTTTTGCAAATCATTAATACAGCCCTTTCATTTATGATGCCTATAAAATTTTCCATTGCAGCCAGTTTAAAACTCATCTCTTATACTCTGAATTAATTTTTTTTCTTCTCTGACTTTCCCCTTAGGAGTATCTACCACTGTTGAACTTTCATCTCCCTTTAGTTCCTCTATTCTCATGAATGGAGAAAATACCAAGGCTATTAGCCTAAAGTTTGGAATCATCAATCATCAATCTTCAGTCAATCATCAATCATCAGTCTTGCTGTTCAACAGTGTCTCCTAAGGAAACTACGTTCACTCTATTTGAAAAGATGTGTATCACCTCAAGAAACGCATATGGAGGAGCTCTGTCAGGGTTTATACTACATGCTGGAGATATTCTGCCTTTGGAGAACTTAAATGGAAGGACATAGTCATAATTTTCTCCTCGAATTTAATTTGTTCTCAATGGTGGTGAACCTATGGCACACGTGCCGCAGTGGGCATGCAGAGCCCTCTCTGTCGGCATGTAAGCCAAGTCACAAATAGCTGAGAATCATCTGACAGCGCACATAGGGGCCATGCGCATGCTCGGAAAGGAATAGCTGTGTCAGGTAATGATATCACCAGTCACAACGCATTAGCCACAACTTGTCCGAGCTTTCCCATGGCTGGTCAGTATTTAGGTTTAGTTGTAGTGTAGGCACTTCACAATAAATAAGTGGGTTTTGGATTGCAATTTGGGCTCTCATCCTTAAAAGGTTCATCATCACTCTTGTGTCTCATTCACTCTTGCATTCAATGAATATTTGGGAGTTTACCATGTGCCAAACACTGAATTAGTCATAGTTGATGTTAAGATGAACAAAACAGACATGCCCTATAACTTCAGGATGCTTTCTGTCAGACTAAGGAACTGCTTCTGTGGGGCTTAGTATTCAATCAAGGAATGCAATGGGTGCAAAGGATTCTGGGTAGCACTGAATCAGTGCTCAAACTGACACTATAATTTCCTCCCTTTGGGAACAAGACTGTTTCTATCTCCTTAGATGAGAATTTGGGTCCAAAACTTTCTATTTGGCTAGAAATAAATCAAGAACCAAGGCAGCCCTACTTTTCATCCTCTTTTCACGCAGTGTGTTGTCCCAGGTGAGCCCGCACTCTTGCTGCAACTAGAGGTTAAAGGCAGACAAAGGCCAGGTTCTTCATCCAAAATCATCTTTGATCTTGGGATCAGTTGCTGCAGACTTCTAAGTCCAGGGAGAATAAACTTTTGAAAACCCCAGAAATATGTTTCCCATTCAGAGCAATTTTAGTTATTCTGCTTTGGAAATGGATGGAAGTAAAGCTAAAAATAACGTGAGACTTGTTTGATCAAAGTCTGCCCTCCCTAGCAGGAAGGGACCATTCTGTTGCTTCAGCTTAATCATGAGGAAAAAAGAAAACCCAAACAAGAAGAAGAAAGTAAGAAAGTCTAGATTGGGCCAGGGATTTAGCTCAGTGGTTCTGCCGCCTGCCTCACAAGTGCAGACCCAAGTTCGATCCCTGGTAGCCCCCACAAAAAAAAACCAGAAAAAAAAGAAAGTCTGGATTGTTGGAAATGTCTCCAGAGCCTCTCATATGCCTGTGGATGGGGAATGGCAGGCAGAGGAGGTGGCTGTGGGCTTCACTGGCATCCCTGGGTTCAGGTGCCTGTTTTCATGTGCATGGAATGTCTGGGGTAGAGTGAGTCTGCTCTGTGCATATGTGTTGTGTATGTGGACATCTCTCTGGATGCATGTGTGGGTGTCAGTGTATGAGTGAGAATGAGTGAGTCTATTCCTGTGTGTGTGTTTTAAACATGTAGATTCGACACTTTACAGAAACTCGATCCATCATTAATTCGCAGCAGTACAAAGCGTTGCATATCCCTGGTTATCTGGCTGTCCTCAATGGTCTATGAGCTCTCTCTCTCTCTCTCTCTCTAAATACAGAGGTCCCTAGAGCCGTTAATGAAAAGCGAGGCTCTTAAGGAGTACTTGTTGAATGACCAGCTGCCAACAATTTGAATGCATGCCTGTATCTGAAACTGTGGGCAGTAGCCCACGGGTTGAAAGAAATCAATCTAGACCTGCAGGCCTCCTTACCTTCTCTATGCTTCATACGTCAAACATGCCCTTTATTGAGTGCTCCGTCTGTCAAGTGCTCTGTTAAGTGCCAGATAAGCCTTGAAGACTCGGTATTTGTCCTCAAGTAGTTCAGAGAAGCTCACTGTACCTTTCTCTTTATTCCACACTTAAAAGACAAAGTTTAGGCCTCTCTTTTCTCCCTGCCTGGCGTTTCAAACACTCACATACTGATGACTTCCTCTTCTGAGAACTAGTCTGCTTCTCCAACTGACTCCTAGACCTCGCTGCTGATTGAAGAGTCATATAAAATCAACATACTTAAATCAACTCTCCGCCGTCAAATTTTGCCTGTTGCAGACCATTCAGTGCAGACTATTAGATATTCTAGAACAACACTCCTATATTTTCACCATCCTACTCAAATCCACTCAATGGCTCTGTATTACCTACCACTTCCCTACACAACTGTATTCACACAGTAGGTTGAAAGAAGACTTCTCCCCTGACAAGTAGTAGTTCTGCTGAAAATAGACATATAGAAACAAGCTAAGTAGTGAACAAGGACATTTTGTATCATATAAACATGTTTACCCAGGAATTAAGATTTCTATTCTCAACACAAAGTCACTCACTCAATAAAAATTCCCAGGCACACAGAGCAGTTAGTTTCTTCTTTGTTTCTCCATATGATGATGATTAAATCTAATAGCCGATACTCGTAAGTATTAATACTCTTCCTTTTAAGGTGGAGTATCCTGCCTCAACTCTCCACTGCATTCTTTGCTTTGCAACAAAGGAGAATGGTGGAAGAAAGGGCAATCCTTGTAAATGGCTCACAAGCTACCTACCTGCTAGCTCTGCAGTACCCTATTCCTTGAGTCTACCCTGCAGTTCTCCCCCTGCCCACATCCACGAAAGGACCAGTTTCCAGAACTGGTAAGTCCTTGTCCCCAGTGAATGGAGCCCAGTTGCAAGGATCAGACTTCTTAGGTGACGCCACAGGCTACTTGGTCAAGAATCCCTACTACGATGCCCTTCCTTCTTACATGACCTATCCATGCCAATATATGTGCAGTGCCAGAAAAGTGGGCAGGGAGAGGTCAGAGAAGGTTTAGAATGGATAAGGAGCCAAGCCGAGTTTCTGAGGAAGAGAAGAGTATTTCTCCTAGGTGTGTGTGCCTTATGTGTGAATCAGTGAGGAGAGCAGGGAAAAACTGATTTTGTGGTGGGAGACAAGATGTCTCCTTAAAATGCAACTATGTAGGAAAGTCACAGTTTTGTTTTCTCTGAGCTTTTGTGCCACCTTTCATTTTTAGCTTTTCGGGAATTATACTTACCATGTCAGTGTCTGACACAGGGCCAAAACTTGTCACGTAGATGTCCGTCTTGACTTCAGTCACTGCATCTGAGGGAAACAAAGTAGAAAAGCAGAGTGTCATGAAAGTCTGTTGCCTTCGCTCAGAGAGAGCTGGACACAGTACTGTGAAGCCAGCCAATGCTGTATTTCAGCAAGAGGGTTCTGAGCCTGACACAGCCATCAGGAAACCCTCGAGAAACTTCTCACCTGTCCTACTCTTTCACAGAGAACATGCTAGGTAGGTATAGGTATGAGGTAGGTATACTTTTAGATAGCACTGAAAATCACAGCAGAGTCCACAAACTGCACAACCCGAAGAGGGGCCTTGGAGACTAGTCCTTGTTTACAGCCTTCTCAATAAAGATGAAGGTGAGATATTAATTAATGGAAAATAAGAGTGGCCTCTTTTTCACCATTGCTTACAGATGTTCCTTTGCTCTTTCTTCATTCACATTGGGGATTTAATTTCCTTCCAATGTGAGGCGTATTGGCTGGTGAAGCAAATGCCTACATACCTACAGTATGGCACAATGGTCTCTACTTGTCTTACCCCCAACTACATACATTAAAATAAGTTAATTAATGAAAGAGATCACAATTAAATTTGAATCCAATATTACAGGCAGGACATTCTGGAAACAGAAAAACTTTCTAAACCAATGTATTTATAAAATTGTAAGAAACTAAAGGTGAATTATCTTTTCCTTTCAAAACTTTACTACAGTATTGGAAGTGCTCCAATAGTCCTGAAATAACCCATACATATATGCATATGTGCACCTATATATGTGGACATGCACATGCACCCTAACCCTCACAGGTTTGAGGCCCTACACTATTTCTGCTTCCTGCTGATCTGAAAAGGTAATGATGAGCAGCAAGTGATCACTGAGCTTATGTTGAGTATATTCTCACAATAAGCTGTATTTATAATTTAACTTCAAATATTATATGCCCAAGAAACCTTGAATTCACTCCATGAAAACCCAAATTTGTAAGCAGTCTCTATGTTTCCCAATTCTAGCTGCTCCACCCCAGCATACATAAACACACTTAATCTTAGCTCTGCCCTCTGGATCCACACAACAAAGGGCACTTCATGTTCCTTTTGAGGTCTAATGACCTTCAAAGATTTGTGATCATTATACCTCCAAGCCCGCTCTTCTTCATCCTTTCCAAACTAAGCATCTCAACTTTCGTAGGCTGCATCTCTCCTCTTTTGCTCTTCATTATCCTCTATTCACTTTCCCCTGGCTCTGGTAGACCCTCTGACCCTCTGAAATACATTTGGTGGTAAAAGTGTGTCACAATTCCATGAGACACATGATCATGAGGTAAACGATATGAAGAAAAGCCAACTATGCCTGTGTATCTCCTTGTGGGCCCATTGCAATGCCGTTCTTCCTCAGAATAGTGAGGCTTGAGAACTGCGGTTGGTGTTTTTTTTTACCTAGAAAACAACTGGCCAACTTTCTTATCTTCTAACTTTCAAACTGCAAGAAATTGGGGGAAATAATTATTCACTGTTGCACATACTGTTCATCTTATAGAGGGACCAGGGTCCTAGAAATGAGATCCTATGTGACTAGCTTTTTGGGTCCACTGTGTATGTGGACTTAGGGAACAAGCTGCAGTGACTTTTGGACAAGTTCTCAGAAATGAGCATGTGTTCTGCCCTCAAATCAATGGCCTTTCCATTTGTCTTCGACAAGTTTTGAGGACTAAGATACTATATGTATTCAACGATACCCTTCTGTATCATTAATCACAGAAAAACTCTGGAAGAATCAACAGATAGCTTAAGGAAGCAGAAATTACTGGATATTCTCTGAGCTCCATTATGAGTTCTGTAACTGCCTCATGTCCCCCTTTTCAGGCTGTTTGGGCTAACTTCATAGCTTTTGTCATTTGGCAGGCTTGAAGTCTGGCATTGTCCTGTTTGTGCTGCTCCATTCATTGCTTAGGACAGGAGTGCACAGTAAAACTAAGAGCCAGCTCCTTTCCTTTGAGGACACTAAGCCAGAAGTACACACAATATACTATACTTATAACACAATTCTGGAAAGAAATACTATAAGATTTCTAGGAGACCACAATAACCACCACCTTAACTTTTCAACTCCACTATTGTACTAATATAGCTGGAATCTAAACTCTCACAAAAGTAATATAGAACAAACTTCATTGCCTCTTCCCAGGATTTGCAAGTACAGTGGTACCTCAGTTCATGAACACTTTTGTTTGCAAACATTTTGGTTCACAAACAGAAGTGTTTGGCAAAATTTTGTTTTTGTTTGCAAACTCTGTATCGGGTGACAAACACAACCATAGCCATCTTTCCCACACAAACACAGATGTGGCCATCTTTTCCAAAATTGCAGAACAAATTGAGTTCACAAACCGAGGTACCACTGTATCTTAGAGACCTCAAAGGTAACCTTTCAGTCCCAAGTCAGACAACTAGTAGAGGGTAAAAACCATTGTGATCACTCCACTTTATTCACTGGTTCCACAAAAACACTGATTTTTGAGCCATCACCTTTTACATCCCACATTTTTTACCATCATCACATTCCTCAATATCACTCAATATTTAAAACGAAAAGCACCAACACATATTTAATTATCAGCTCAACCAGTTTCATTTGTCTCTCACTTATTGTGGATCTTCGCAATCCTCCAACCTTTCTCTCTACATCTACACCAATTATTGGTCACTCAACCCAACACTCGCTTAGAATTTAGTAGAGAAAACACTGAATCTGATCTTGAAGATCTCAGTACAAGCTGTAGTGGTGCTGCTGAGAAGCTCTATGACCTTCATTAAGACATCTGTCTTCCTGGTAAACCTCAGTCGAAAGCAGCAATTTCCTTCTAGAAAATGAAGAATTTCAGCCCAGAAATCTCTAAGGCCCGTTATAAAAAAATACACTCTATGACTATATGGTTTCTTGGTTTCCAAAGCCATTACAGATCAGAAGCACTAAAGAAGATTTAAAGAAGATGCATGTAGCATCTCACACCTACAATCCCAGCACTCTGGAAGGAAGGCTGAGGCAGGGACGTCACAAGTTCAAATCCAATGTGGGCAACTTAGTAATCCTGTCTCAATATAAAAAATAAAAAAGGGACTAGGGAAGTATCTCAGTGAGAAAGACATAGGTTAAATCCCCATTACTATTGCAAAAGAAAATAAAATAAAGATACACTGAATGGAAGAAACAAGAAATAAGCACTAATATAGTAAAGCTGTAGGCAAAACATAACAAGACTGTGGTACATGAGGAAAACAATCAAATAGTGTGTATGACTTTTCTCAGGAATGGTTGATGTGCTTCATGCTCCTGGTGACATTAATATAAGTCTATGGAAAAAATGTTCCCAGACTATCTCTTCCCTCAGGCCTTTCTGGTGACATGTCTTCCTTGTTGAACTGATGTTCACTAGAAACCAAATGAAACATTTGTATTTGTAGCGCTAGAGAAAAGCAAAGAGGTGTGGAACTAGCCACCCAATTACAAAGAAATGTCAGTAATGGGTATGGAAGAACTAAAAACATCAAAGGCAGCCTCTTCATCAATTCATAGAGTCCACGTCCAAAAGTCAGTAGAATTTCTCTGGAGTGACATTATGGCATTATTAAACATTAGGGATCAAGGTGGAAGCATGGCCAAGAAATGAACAAATATAACTTGGAGGCTCACTGCACAAAGTTTTCTCCATGCCAGAGACACATCCTTGAGCCAGGACAAGCCAAAAGCCAGAGGAGAAGCAATACAATTCTAAATCAGCTGAAATATTCCAAAATGTTAAAGGATGCATGAGTATTTTTCCAGGGCCTACAGATTCTTACCCTAAACCTAAAATTAACTAGCAGAAAGACCATGAGTATATGAATGTGAATACTGGGTTAGTTCTAGTCCTACTTCAAATCAAGTATGCCTTAGATTTCTTATCTGTAAAAAGGAGTTGATTTTGTTATGATTCCAATATTGAAGAATTAGGGTTTCCAAAGCTATAATAGACTAGAAGAGGCTACCAAAGACAGATACACTCTCATTTTCAAGAAGTATTTAGGACTTAAAGATGACATAGGTGACTTCATATTTCCTTTAACCCCTCTGCTCCAAACATACGTATGGCAGGTAAGCTGGATTGTCAACCTAATTGGCTTCAGAGCCACTGAGGGGATTAGAAAAAATACTTCCCGGTGTCTGTGTAGGTCGTGGGGGTGTGATCTTGAGGTCTGTATCTGGTCCTTGTTCCCTTCCTCTCTGGCACAGCCCCTACTCTTCTTCCTGGATGCCATGAACTAGGTAGCTTTGCTCCACTGCACTCTCTGCCATGATGTTCCTGCCTTGGATTCAGATGATCTCAGATTGATTCTTCTGAAATCATGAGCCAAATTAAACCTCTCAAGTTGCAGGTGTCAGGTACTTTGTCCCAGCAGCAGTAAAACTGACCAATACAACACAATAATTGTAGATAAAATATAAATGATTTAGTTCCTTCCAACAAAATATTAAAAATACCACTGAACAAAAACAAAAAACAAAAAAGGAGTAATCAATATTGAAATCAAAGTCCTGAGTTTGAAAATAAAAACTACAGTAAAAGAGAATAAAATTGTTGGCCTGTTGTACCAGGAGTGCATCAGCAATGTCACAATGCAGAAAAAAACCTCAAACCATTATTATAAGTCACACTGGGGTAGAGTTCAAGGAAGGAGCAACCTTAAACCAACTCCACAGCAAAGCAATCCCAACTGAAATCCCGGCACCATATTTCACGGACCTTGAGAAAACAATCCAAAAATTCATTTGGAACAACAAGAAACCCAGAATAGAAAAAGCAATTCTAGGTAACAGAGACATGCCAGGCGGTAACACAATCCCCAACTTGAAACTATGCTACAAAGCTACTGAGATGAAAACAGCATGGTACTGGCAAAGAAACAGACTTGAGGACCAGTGGAACAGAGTAGAAGATGGAAAAACAACTCTAGACACACTCAGCCATCTAATCTTTGATAAAGGAGCCAAACACCC